CCCTTGCCGGTAGCCCCGGGGCTCCCTTCCCGGTGCCCGCGGAGGCCCCTCGGCCGCCGCCGCCGTCTGATGTCACTGCGGTGCATGGCGGGTAATTATGCACGGCGCAAGGGAAATAATAAGACGCGGCGTCTAAAAATACTGCGAGCGCCCGCCGGGTGCCTTTGTTTGGCACCTTTGGGTGCTGGCACCTTTGGGTGCTTTGCCCTGTTTGGCACCTTTGGGTGCTCTCTGTTTTTCGCCTTGGGGTGAAGCGCGCCCGGCTGCTGCGGTTTGGGGCGTGTGGGTGGGTTTGGGGGGTTCGGGTGTAAGCGTCCCCCCCCACCCCGTGCTGGGCTGTTATGGGGCGCTGGGTGCCCGGCTGCCCTGGTGCCGCCTGCAGAGGTGACGGTCGCCTGAGCTGGCCTCGGGCAGCAGAGGCCGGTGTGTCGACAGGGCGGGAGCCGCTGGGTGTCCCGCTGCAGGGAGCCCCAAGGGAGGGCAGTGGGTTTGGAGGTGGCACCTGAACCTCAAGCTGCCGAGGGTGACGCAGCCGGCGCTGGCTTGAGGCCGCCTCTGGCAGTGCCACCCGGACACCCCGTGTGGACGAGCAGGGCCCGGCGCTGCCCCGCTGGCCCTTGCGGTGCCACCAGACCCACGGGGCTGCGTGGCGGGGCGCCGTGCCGAAGGGGAGCCCCGAAGCGGCGCTCGGAGGGGACGTCCCCTCGACGGCCGCCCCAGCGGACCCGCCGAGCAAAGAGCAGCCCAAGGAGACTCTGCAGATCCCCATTGATTGGCACAGCGGAGCCGCTCGCTGCGTGGTTTGTGCCCGCCTGCCTGGGACCAGGGCTCTGTGCGGAGGAATTGATCAAGCTGTAAAACCCAGAGCCAGCTAATGAAATAGGGACTATAGATTTTTATTTTAAATGGAAGAGAGTTTAGGGGAGATTTAATTATCCCTGTTTTATGGACCTGTTAGAGGAATGAAATAACAGCCAGCAGGTAGGGCTGTGGCCGGCAGCGCTTCTTCCAGGTGTGCGACCTGCCACCCTGGGGCAGGGACAGGGACAGAAGTGGCTTGGAGTGGAGCAGGACGTGGCAAAGTCCCCCTTGTGCTGGTCGGAGGTGGGAACGTTGGCAAGGGAAGCACCTGGGGCTGGTGCTGGAGGTACTAGACGGGATGGGCAGAGCTGGCCCAGCGCAGCCTCGCGGACTGAATGAGGCTGGCACGGAGCGGCTCTCCCTGTGCCCCCGGCTGGCGCGGAGCAGCAATCCCTGTGCCCCCGGCTGGCGCGGAGCGGCCCTCCCTGTGCCCCCGGCTGGCGCAGAGCAGCAATCCCTGTGCCCCCGGCTGGCGCGGAGCGGCCCTCCCTGTGCCCCCGGCTGGCACGGAGCGGCCCTCCCTGTGCCCCCGGCTGGCAC